GCCGGCCCCAGGCTCCTCAGGGCCCCCGCCGGCTGCTCTGGGGCTTGTCAGTGGCCGGCGTCCTTTAGGCCTCAGGCCTCTGCATGCCGCCTTGAGGGCTTGTAGGGGTAGGTAGGCCGAGAGGAGGGCGAAGGGAGGCTCGGACTAGAGGGAGGGGGCGAAAGGGCTGCCTGGCTCCTCTGGTGCTGCCAGGGCCTGGGCCAGTCGGGGAGTGCGCACGGGAACTGCTTTTTGGACCCCTCCTCTGTGGGGGTGGGGGAGGGCGAAGGCGTCTGTAAACAGGCGCCGCCTCTGACTCCCAGCACCTTAGGGCTGCTCCCTCCCCCAGCCCCTGAAGCGCTCCCCCTCTTTGGCCAAGCGGGGTTCACGGTGTCTGTTTCCCTGAAGCCCATGGAGACCTAGCCTGTGGTCTTCTCCCTGCTGGCGGTGCGAAAATTGTGTGTGTGCAGGTGTCTTTAAAAAAAAAAAAACTGAAATGCAACAAAAACATACAAAATGTGGTTATCGATAAAGGATGGAATGGTAAGGGATGCGCCTCTCTAAACATCTCTAAGCATGAGTTCTGTAAACATCAGTTATGCCCGCGTCCCAGTTGAAAGTGAATTGAAACAAGAGCTCTTTTGGAACAGTAATAATACTACTCTTGACATACCAGAATAGCCCATGAAACTGGAGACAAACACTTACTTTCAACGGGGAGACAAATTGTAATGTTTAAAGAGAACTTTTATTCCAGCTAGGCGTTTTAAATTACTAACATGCAGTATAAGAAGCAACATTAACTAGCGTAAAGTGGACCTCAGGAAGCACTTCTAAAGGAGACACAGAGGTGGTTCATCTCCAGCCATAGAGCTTCTTGTGCCTTGTCTCCTGTTTCAGTAATTTGTCCCTAAATTGTTCAAGATCAATCTTTTCTCTGAGTTAGAAATTTGATTTCATTTTTGTTTGTTCTTGTTTTGTTTTGTTTTGTTTTTGAGACGGAGTCTTGCCTTGTCACCCAGGCTGGAGTGTGTGGCGCAATCTCGGCTCACTGCAGCCTCCATCTCCCGGATTCAAGCGATTCCCCTGCCTCA